GTATTGGTTGGCCTTCTTGAGGTAGACCTCGATCCTCTCCACGTCAGGCCACCTTCAGACAGACAGACAGACAGACGAGCCGTAAATTGTCCGTGCACCGATGTGTGTGCGTGTCTCTCGGCCCCGCTTCTCTCTGTGAGTGGGTGTTTACCGACCGGTGTGCGTCGCCGCCCTGGGGGCCTTTGCTGTCTGTGATAAAGGGTCCTTTGAGGTTGATGACGTTGTGGATGTGCTGCTCGAGGTCCTGCATGTCCTTCATCTTTCGTTCGATCCGTGCCCGCAGGTTCTCTTGCGGCAGGAAGGGCAGAGACGCGTGAGATCTGATGGATACACAGATATGGTCCACCCATCACACACACACACACAGCGCACACAGTACACCACCAGTGAGAGCGATTTGGTAAATAAGTAAATAAACACTCACGCAGTACAGAACGTGCAATCACAGACACAGACACAGACACAGATCAGATAGATCAGGTTACGAGCCGATCCAGCAGTTTCGGCCTAGCTAAGTACTTTCCGCGGCGGGCGGCTCGATGGCCAGATTCACTTTGTTGGCAGTCGCAGGCAGTCGCATTCAAAAGCCTTTCCGTCCCTCTCACTATGCACCGCACCGCAGCGCAAGCAGCTCTACTTTGGTTCGAGCAGTCCATCCACCACCACCACCACCACGACCATAATTCAGTATTACGAAGTAGTAGTAAACACACCTTTCGAGTTTCTCGATGGCGGCGTCGTCAATGACCGTCTCGGGGTCGTCCAGCTTGCGCAGCTCCCCCTCCCACGCCTCACACCGCCGGATCAGGTTCTCCATAGCGATCAGCTGCCGCAAAGGCAGACCGAACGACTTGCCCCTCTTGAGGTGGAGCCGCGCCTCCTGAAGGGTGGGAGCCGCCTTGGCGGGGTCGCCACTTGGCTTGATACCCCGGAGGGCGAGAGCGCGCCGCTCCTCGACCTCTCTGAAGAGCTTCTCGGTGTCCTTGATCCACGCGTCGGCGTTCTTGACTTTCTGCCGGATGGCTACGAGGGCCTTGGAGGTGAAGGGGACGTTGGCCAAGTGAGACGCCCAGATGCGGAGAGCCTGAAGGGACAGAGAGAGGAGAGGGGTCGGTGTGGATGGATGTGAGTGGGTGTGTGTATGTGTGTGCGTGCCTGCAGGTCGCCTGCTGGTATGGACGCGGTGAAGTTGTTGGCCTGGGCCCTCTTCTGCTGCAGGTAATCCAGGTGCGGCACCGCACCAGCCGGCAGTGTCTTGGCCTCCTGCACACACACACACACACACACACACATGCCTCCCTCCACCAACCCAATCCTGCCCTGCATTCTCCATTTGTCCGTCCGTCCATCCGTCGCACGCACCTCCATGAGCTCTTCGATCTCGTCGATGGAAGGCTTGGGGGAGCACTTGAGCTGCTCTGCCTTGGCGAAGGCCGCCTCGACACGCTCCATCAGACGACGGACCACTGCCAGATTGGGGTTCTTGCCCTGAGCCAACTCGATGCTCTGAATGACACACAATAAGCCCACACCACACCGATGCGATCGATGTGTGTCGGTCGGTCGGTTGCGTGTCTGTCTGTTTCGCTACGTACGTCCTCGGCCTCCTCGTGGATGAGGTAGAGCTGCTCCATAGTGATGGCGCTCCCCTCGCCCTTGGCCAGCTGCGGGTACTTCATCTCAAACACCTTGGCACGCAGCCGACGGCGCAGCACCACCGCCTCGTTGAGGTGCCGCTGCAGACGCCCCTGCGCTGGAGCCAGCAGCAGCTTCTCGCACTCGGCGGCGTCTTGCGCCTTCAAAGCGTTGTCCGCTGCAGTGATCCACCTGCATGCACCAGATAGATGAGCGCACACCACACACGAGCCTCGTGTGTGCGCGGTGGATTGTGGATGGCGTGGGTGTGTGGGTGTCTTGCTTACGCTCTGCATCTCTCCCAGGCCTGGTTGAGCCGCACGACGCACCGCAGCCTGACGGGCAGCCGCCTCACCCCCGACAGCAGCTCCTCTAGCAGCTTGATGGAGCACAAAGCCTGCACACCCGAACCACCACCACCCTGCTGCAGCTGCTGGGAGGTGTTGGTCGACCTGATGCCCCCAGAACTCAGCCCAGAAGACGACCGCATCGGCGCGTCGGTCGACGACCGTGTGGCAGGCCTCATTGCCGGCTTGGGGGCCGCTGGCCTGGGCGGCGGTGCCTTTGAAAGGGACAGGGGCGGCCGGGGGGGCAGGCCGTCCTTCCTCTTCACCCCCATGCCCATGCCCTCGCCCGCCGGCTTCTTGACGTGAGGCGCGCCGGGCCGCTGCGGGTGGTCCTTGTCGATGGGCTTAATGACCTTCTTGGCCCCCACAGGACCGCCTCCAGGCATCAGCGGCCTGCCCTTGCCGTCACCACCCACTGGCGGCCGCTTGGCTGCGGTGGTCGATGCCGCTGATGATGCCATAGATGGGGGCTTCTTGAGCGGCGCCGACGTGGCTGCGCTGGCACTTGCGGGTTTCTGCTTCTTGGCGGATTGGGAGCTGCCCGAGTCGGATGGTGCGGGGGGCCGCTTGGCGCCCCGAGCCGATGAGGGGCCGCCGGCGTCTGAGCCGCCGTCGGCCGTGGATGGTGACGGTCTCGGGGGCTCAGGTGATGGTGCGGGTGGTGGGGCTGCGAAGATGCTGTCAATGATCTCCTGCGGCGTCTCGTCGATGCGGAGGATGGTCTCGGTCCTGAATGAATCAAACAAACACCCACACAGACACACAACGGACACATGACATGAGTGTGGGTGCCACTCATGTCATCCGTCCATCCCATCCACCCATTCATTAAATTCACTGCTTACCGCATGTTCCACATGGCGGCGAGGAGCAGCACGTCGGGTGTGAACATGGGCTGGGTGTGGGGGCAGATGACGGTGGCGCCGGTGCCCTGCCCCACCTCCTGCAGCGTGGTCCATGCCGTCTTGAGCACCTCGGTGGGCCCCTCCACCCACTCGCGATCGAGGTCAGCGAGGAAGCGCCGCTGCCGTGTGCACCGCCGGCACTGGTACACCTCCATGTCCGCCGCACGGTCCTCAGACAAACCCACACAACGACCGTGCAGCCAATCACTGAGTCAGTGATATATTGGCAGAGGGGGAAACAAAGAGAGAGAGAGAGAGTGTCGCTCTGTGTTCTGGGG